TGACCTTCCATTTCAGACATGAATGGAACCTTCGTCCAGGATTGTCGTCGGTCCATGACGTGCGAAGCACAGCTCTCTTCCCACAGTAGCAGTCAATGGTGCTCGTCGTGTGCGACATTTTTTCTTCCCTTCCATTTGGCAAGAATGGAAATGAAGGAAATGATGTTTGTTCGTTCTGATTTCGATTTTTTATCCCCAATTCGTTTTTTTTATTTTGTTTAATGAAATATGATGTGGATTTTATATTTTTTTTATGTTTTTTTTTTCTACTTTTTTAATATTATTTTTGCCTAGTGTCAAAATGGATGGATACAGCTTGTAACACATCAGGAGCTGACAAGAAATTCCGGGATGACTAAGCGCCACATCAGCAAAATGGTCACCGGAATGTGATTTTGGACTAAAATTGCCAAAAAAAAAAGTTAGTGTACCATTTATAAACCGGAAACAAATAAAGGACGAAAGTGCAACTAGGGGAAAGTTAGTGGACTAATGGTGGTCCTGAAGTTTTACCGGAAATATACTAGAAATATAAGTAAAATATACCAGAAAAAATGAGGTCCTGAAGTTTTATAAAGAAAAAAAAAAAGATGGGACAATCATAAATATTTCTAGTTTAATTTACTTTATTAACAGTATATTTCTAGTTTAAAAAGATATCTTTCACGTTTTATTAACAGTATATCTTTCACTTTTTTATTAACAATATATTTAAAGTATATTTTATATATATGTTTCAATATCTTTCACGTTTTATTAACAATATATTTAAAGTATATATATTATGTATATTTAAACATAATACCAGATTACTATATGTTGACAAAATGGAATGTGTTGGACACACTGACAGTGATATGTACTTGAAATATACCGATCATATACCAATTGTTACATAATTGAAGCATGTCTCAAGTATGTCCCAAATTATATGATAAGTATATACTTTGTAAAGTATATGTATCTGATTAGTTTATTAATATTATATCACACTATCATATACTTATCATATACTTGATATAAAACCAACACCTACCTAGCATAACCTTGATATAAATCCACATATACCTTAAAATATACATAAAATATTCTTTAAATATACATTCGAGTTTCAACTGTTTCTCAAAATCGATTTTAGAACCCACATATACCTAAAATATACCTAAGATATACACTCGAGTTTCAATCCCCGTCAGAATGTCACAATTACACTACAAGCAGAAGAAGGCAAAGCAAAACTGAAAAATCTCGGGACACACATATACATAAAATATACTTTTAATATACAGTTCAACCCTTTCTCAAAATCGATTTCAGATTCCACATATACCTAAAATATACTTAAGATATACACTCGAGATTCAATCCCCGTCAGAATGTCACAATTACACTACAAGCGGAAGAAGACAAAACAAAACTGAAAACTGGTGCCTCTCGATAACAATAATAATGAAAAACTAATCCAATTTTCGGATCCAATAACGAATTAGCATCCCCGAACAAGTACTAGAAGAACACCTCCGGATTCATCCCCCGCCTATGAAACAAGTGTGCGTGCTTTAGCCGGTTGATGACGCCCTCTGCCATTGAGTTCGCTTCCCCCTGCACCTCCGCCAGGAACCGCCGCAGTTCGTCAGCTTCCATAACTATATAACCGTCGCGAAATTCTCAATTCGAACAAACAATTAACAAATCGAACAACGGAAAACGTGATTGGAATCAAACAACGAAAAACGCGATCCTCAAGCCCTGTCGATCTGCAAACCTCGACAATCGGCGACCTCACCTTCGAGCTCTATTCGGCGACCTTCGACGGGCCCCGACCTTCGCAAGCCGACCGCCGCCCACCCTGTTGCCGGATGCCCTAAACGGGTGCGGGAAGAAGAAATTGAAATTTAGGATTTGATTGTTGTCAGAATTTTGGGTTTTTGCGAATTGTAGAGGAAAAAAAAATTGGAGATTAGTGGAGGAGAAAGAGGATATTGGGGAATGACGGGGAAGTGGGCGGTGTTTACTTTTGATTTCCCCTTTTTTTGGGAAGAGGATATTTATTATCACTTAATTATCTCATTACCATTAAAAAAAATTAATAACGGTCAAGTGTGTCTTATGTACAATTGATAATATTTTAGCTTCTTTAGGTAAATTTAAAAATAAGTATATAAGGGATAAAAATGTGTAATATAATTTAAAGGGGCTAGTAAGTAGGGCTGAGCATGGGACTCGGAGAATTCCGAACCGTTCTGAAAACCGAACCGAAATCAATTCGAACCGAAAAATAACCGTTGACCGTTTGGCTTTCTCCGAAACGAACCGAACTGAAAAAATAATTGGTACGGTTCTGGAGATTTTACAAATATCTGTACCGAGAACCGAACCGAACCGTCTCGTACTGTACCGAACCGAAGAACCGAAATTACGAACTGAATTATAACATTAGATGTGTTATTAATATATTATATGTCAATTTTGATTCTATATAATATAGTAATAAATATTAACCTTCACTTAAATTTCATGCTTAGTAATACTTGATCTACAATTGAATTTTTTCTATTATAAAATAATTATTTAAAATAATATGAAAGTTTAAAGAATATTTTTGTAAGAAAAAAATATTATATTTTATTTGAGTTTTAAATTTTCAATATTAGTTGCACAAATTTAGTTATAACTAAAATTTAGAGTTACTTATAAAGTTGATTTCAAAATAAAATCTTTAATGTGAAAAAATACTGATGAATGTTAGTTTTATAAAGCATATAAAAATTAAATAACTAATATATAGAGTTACTTCTAGAATTGATTTCAAAATAAAATCTTCAATATGATAAATTATTGATGAATATTGTTTTTTTAAAGCATATAAAAAATAAAATATAACTAGGTAGTCATTCAAAAATAATTTCAAAAAATAAAAAATCTCCGAAGATCCGAACCAAACTATACCGAACCGAACCGTCCCAATAGTCCCGAATACCGAACCGAACCGAACTGAACCGAACCGAAAAATAAGAGTCTCCGAACCGGACCGAACTGACATTTTGGTACGGTTCCGAAGATCAAATTTTGGGATCTCTGAAGTTTGGTACGATTCTGAAGATTTATCAATCCCCGAATTATACCGACCCACGCTCACCCCTACTACTAAGGGCACCCGCATCGGGGCCGTTCAGTTGTCCGTTTAAACAATTTAAATACCAACTTGGCATACTCCACCAATGTGGCCGTTCATTAAGAGGTGGGGGCCCCTCTATTCGTTCAATGGAATGAACGGCAGTTTGTACCTTTTTTTATTTTTTTTTTGTTTTCTTTTTCTTTTTGTTTTAAAATCTTTATTTGACTGAATTTCATTGGAATGAACAGTAACTTATTCCTTTTTTTTTTAAATCTTTGTTTTACTGAATACACAACATGCTTTCTTTCCTTCTTTTTTTTTTTAAATAATTAATTATTCATTATTTTTTCTTTTTTGTTTTTATATTTAATTTATTTTTTTTTATCTATATCACACTTCTTAATATAGATTAATAATTTACATTTTCTATCATCATGCTTTGCTTATAAATACATCTCAATTTGCCACTTCTCTTGCACCAAAAAATTCGTCTTCTCTTGCACAAAAAAATTTAGCAACTGCTTATTTTTCTAAAAAAAAATGGATCTAAATAATAGACAAAATTTTTAAAATTTCTTAAGTTCTAATCCTAGCATTTTGGTCTTGTAGTGTTCTTTCATTTTTATGCATTTAAAATTTATTATTATCATTTTAAAATATTAAATCTTATTTTTATTGAGAAAAGAATATAAAAATTTATACTGAATGAGTGGATAATGAGTCCCACATATGTATTTAAATGAATGTGTATGAATGTGGGTGTGTATTTAAATAGAAAGAGATTTAGTGGAAATATGATGTGGAGTCTGTGGAGATGAGGTGAATGAGAGAGAGTGTTACTTTTTGAATGAATGAATAATTTTTGTGTTAATGGGTTGTGGATGCCCTAAGGGTGCAATTCAATACAATGGCGATATAAATTTGGGGCCCCAAAGATTTTGGGGCCCATGGCCACCTTAGTTCTGTCTTGGCTAACAAACACGCGTATACCCCTGCATAAACCCTCAATAAAAACCCTTTTCACTTTGCCAATTCTAGGACAGTCCTTCTTTTCTTTTATACAGAAACAGTTTTCTTGCCAATTAATCGTTACACTATTTCCACTTTGCATTCCTGTCCTCAGAATCAGTCGCCGTTGGGATGGCGTCACTATCGGAGCTCAATGACGACATAATTCGTAGCATGGCCGTCGGTGCTATTTTCTCAGATTTCGTCAGTTTCTGTTGAACCCTTTTATCTTACTTTTGTTGAATTTACAATTTTCGAAGGTGTAAATTCGAGCTAAATTGTGTGATTTGTGAATCGCAATTACTGCAAGTAGTAAAAAAAATATGCTGGTAGGTTATGTGATGTTGATTCCTTTAAAAGTGCAGCTGCTAGTAGCAGAATTGACTCTCTGTGCTTGCAGGGCTTCGTTTATTGTTCAGGAATGTAAATTCCAAAGACATTCTGAATATTTTCTGTTCTGGTGTTGGTTAATTGTTTGAGAAAATTTTCGTGTCGAGTTCGATTATGAGGCATTTTTTTTAATTATGCGTTTCAGAGAGGGAAAATCAATTCTTTAGATTTCCACCGGACAGCTGATTTGTTGGTGACATCAAGCGACGATGATTCGGTGCGGCTGTATGACATTGCTTCTGCTAAGTAAGACATTTGAGTTGCTATCTTTTTTCTCTTTCTTTTGCTTCATTTCACTCTAATGTCTTATTTTTTTTATTGTGTTCTAATTATCCAGATTGCTGAAGACGACATATCATAAAAAACATGGGGCCGACAGGATATGTTTCACTCACCACCCAAGTTCCATAATTTGCTCTTCGAAAAACTTGGATTCTAATGAAGGTAGCATACTTTAGCTACATTGTGACAGTATGCAAATTGCATGAGAGGCTGCTTCTGATTTTTTCCCCTATCGTTTTTCTTGGCAGAGTCTTTGAGGTATCTGTCAATGTTTGATAATAGGTGCCTTCGATACTTCAAGGGGCACAAAGAGAGGTAAATGCTTCAGACTTGTTTGGTCTGAAAGTGAAATTTATATTCCATCATTTCTGTGTGCCTACTAACTCAGCATCACAAGTATGGATTTTCTGGTAATATATTATAATTTAGGTGGTAATCTCACATTCCCACAAATTTTGGATTGAGAAAAGTCCTTTTAGTTTGATGTAGGGTTCGGGTACCACTGGTTGGCCATGTTCTAAAGCATTTGCACTGCTATTTTGTTTAAACCCTTATGCAAACTTATTTAGATATGTTGTATGGTGAAGTTTTACTGCAATAGGTAGTGCTTCCCAGAAATGAGTTGTAGGAGTGTATTATGTAGCGTGGATGGCATGCATTTCACAAATCCGAAAATCTATGTTTTTTTAGTTTTTATTATTATGTGGAACAAATTTTCTTTAGAATACTTGTCTGCCTGGAATTTCATCTGTATAATGTACATTCTCTGCATGTCAAGTTGGATACCTGTCCCTTGAAATTTTTGCTCATTTGAATTGTGATGCTTATCAGTGTAAGAATTTGGTTGAGTTGGTTGTAGGGTTGTATCCCTGTGCATGTCTCCAGTCAATGATGGCTTCATGTCTGGTTCTCTAGACCACAGTGTTCGAATGTGGGATCTTCGTGTGAATGCCTGTCAGGTTAGCTTTTATTTTCAGTCGCTCCAATTTTAGATATGCCATTCCAATACCAGTTCCGTGAAAAAAGTTGGTATGCAGCAGGTTATGCTACATTTTGTAGTGGAATATTTCTATCAAACCTCAGAATACGAGATGATGCTACTATTATTTGAGTTTCAGTCTTTAGATGTGATACAACTTTGAAAAAAGTATGTCAAGTTTGATGTGAGCTTTCTGATGTAGCTTTCAGGGAATTTTACATCTGAGAGGTAGACCTACTGTTGCTTATGATCAACAAGGGTTGGTTTTTGCAGTGGCTATGGAAGGAGGTGCAATTAAACTATTTGATTCCAGGTCGTATGACAAGGTTCGTGTTCCAAACAAGTTTGTATTGCATATTATGTTCGTTCACTATATAATTATATTTCCTTTTTTAGGGCCCGTTTGATACTTTTCTAGTTGGTGGTGATACAGCTGAGGTGTGTGATATTAAGTTCAGCAATGATGGTAAATCAATGCTTCTAACGACAACGAATAACCATGTATATGTCCTTGATGCTTATCATGGAGAGAAGGTCAGTCTTGTCATGAGCCAGTCTTCTATTTTTATTTAATAAACCAAAACAAAAAGAACAAAATTGGTTCTTGGTGCTTGAATTTGTGAGTTCAGAGCAGACCAGAATCTTCCCTGTTAAATTGTGAATCATAGACAATTTTAATAAGTAACAATTATCTTCTTGTTTAGAAATGTAACATATTAGTAGAAAATATTTTTTATCTCAAAATAAAATCAGATATGCTTTTTATTCTTTCATAACATGATTATGATCTTAATTTTGAATTTTATGCTAAGAAGATAGCACAGAGTGTACAACTGCTTTTTTTTTTTTAAATCTTATTTGTTCAAACTTATTTCCAAATTGCTAGAAAAAAAAAAAAGTATTTAATTCTGAAATGGCAAGATCAGTCTGTTAAATTTTAGATAACCAATGTAATGGGTGGGAAGAAAGAATGTGTATTATGGAACCCATGTTATGTGTTAAACGTGTAAGAGAAACTTCATCTATGAAAATCACATAAAATTCCATTTTAGAAGTGTATTGCTTATATGCATGCCCTCCGCTCTGCTTCCCAACCCACCTAAATTTTCCTTTGTCTTCATTAAAATGCTCGATTTACATCCCACTTCAAATTACTCACCTTAAAAAGCGTTGACGTGTGTTTCACCAACGAGACCACCGAGGCAATGACCTTGTAAGTGTGGTGTATTTTAGTGTTTTACTGCGAGTCTTGATGCAATAATAGCGTGACAGAGATTTGTTGGCAGTCAAAATAAAGTGTCATTTTATTAATAGGATGGGCCACTTCCGAGTGGCGATTTAAGAAATATATAGGAGACGAAAGCTTAAAGGAGAGGAAAACTAGTCTAGGGTATTTCTGAAAGTAGAAATCGTTGCCTCTCAAGGCCTTCTGGACCTCTTTATTTATAGAAGAGGAGGTCCTTAAAATAGGACGCGTGGTGACTTCTAATTGGCTGCATGGTGACACGTATTCAACAACTTGCCTTACTTCGGCAAGTGACTAATCTTTTTGGGCGGTGGGAACTGGTTCAGGGCGATGGAGCTTGGACGGGTTGAGATCGACTATGAGAAATGATCTCCCTTCTGGTAGAGGTTGATATGTCTGCGTCATAGCTGGGAACGAGATCGCCACATCTGTAGATGATGTCTTTGAGGTCGTTTTTTTTTCTTTTTCTCTCTTGGCTAGAGTGCCCCTGGGCATACGGACTCTGGGAATGTTGCATGTGTTGGGACTGATGATTGCGGCTAACCGTTTTAGGGGTCTTTATTTTAGGTCGGACAAAATTGTGAATCAACAAAGAGAAAAGAGAAAAAAGTAACTCGTCCTGCATTCATCTCTCTTGTGTTATGTGCTTTCGTCCTTCCCCACCACTATTCCACCCTAGAAGCGATTTCGGACAAGATGAGAAGAAGAATAAAGTGAAGGAAATCAATTTTTCTGGCATGAGTTCCATCTTCAAACTGCGTTTAGAACATTTTTGCGAAAATGTGAAGAATCAAAATGTGTAAAATAGAAATCCATCAGTAACCTCATTCGGAGGCACAGCCAACAAACAATGCTTTGGAAAAGTGCCCCTCAATCTTCCCATTCTGTTTGTTGTAAAAGAGCAAAAATAAAATAAAAATCTTACCGTTTTCTCCCCTTCATTCTTTCTTCTTGCTCCTCTGTTCATCAATTGAAGAGAAGAACTATACTCCTTTTTCTTTCATGTCTGTTAAAAGCCTCCAATGCCATTTACAAAAGCGCTTATTCTTCATCCTGACGAAAAAAGTTCTTGACCCTTCAATGGCCTTTTAAGAAATATTATTGTAGGGGTTTGTCATCTCCAATTTGCTAACAGGCCCTAGCCTCTTTAAATTTTGCAAATGAGTCACTGAGTTGGATTTTGTCATCTCAATGTGGTGGTTGACTTCCTTCTTCAAATTTAAGGTGGGAGAGTTGAGCTTTAAGTCACCCGGAATTATTTTACCAGCCAATGTTTCAGTTTTATTGACACATCACATCAGATATGTGGAATGAGATTTGCGCAAAGGGTCGAGAGTGTATTTTTTGTTCCTTCCTTTAGCTCGTCTAGTTTGGTGTGTTATGGGAGATGTAGATTTTATATCAGAATGCAAAAGAATAAATTTGGTGGTTATGGCAGTATGCCAAGTGGAAGCCAAGTTAGCTGTAAGGTTGCATTATGAGCCACTATGGTTTTGTCGAAAAACCGGGCAAATTTGTACAGTTATAGAGAATTGCATATGAAATGTTGAATAAACCTACCCAACTTGGTCTATCTATAAGGATAAAAATGATGAAATGATTCATTCACTGTTTTTTTTTTCTCCAATATAGGCTGGGTAACACAAAGTGGTATCAGTTGTTTCTGTATATCTACATACATTGATGTCTTCAAAAGTTTTTTTTTTTTTTTTTTTTTTTTTTTTTTTT